ATGTGTGGATGCCCCTGGGTGTTTTCTTTCTAATGGTGAAAACCGCAGGTCGCTAGCTGCATCCGTTCAGGAGATATTCCTCCTTGAGTTTTCTCCATCTATTTCTGGCGCCGACATTAGTTCCAAAACGCTAATTTACATTGATTATTCCTATTGTTTTCGTTTACAATGGATTTTAAGATTCTGTAAAAAAATGTCATTGATTTTAATCGATTATTCTTCAGAGTAAATGGCAATATTTCAAATGAATTTTTTGTTAGATTTTCATCGATTATAATGGAAAAAAAATAAGAATAATCGATGAAAATTAGGTTCTTCGATTATTTTTTATTGTATTTATTATAATCGGTTACAGGTGTATGATTTTAATCTGATTATTCCTTTGAAATATTTTTACATGAGTGGGAGATATTATTTTGTTCCCTAAAGCAAGAGGCTATATTCTATTCCTGGCGTCATCTATAAGATAAAGTTTACAGCGAACATGTTTTTTTTTTGCATATTTTTCTTTATAGAGAGATCATTATTACATTTAAAGCTTAAATTATTTTTTTTCTAACATCCAAAAATGGTACTAATGTATATTCATAATCCCTTAATGTTTTTTTTACTGATTCACCAATAAGGCAACGGCCTATTCAACACACAATAAACTGTATTCAGTTCATTAGGATAAGAATATACTTGTTTCCAGTCGTCCAGAGTATAGCGGTCCATTTTTTATCTTCATTCCCCCAAGAACTGAACGATTATTGAAATCTACTAGCTAACGGAATGTTGCATTCAATTTTGAAATAGTGGAAATTATTTAATAGAAGCATCGCTTATAATAGTCATCTGTAATTTTGTGTATTTTAGATTATTAATTTATCATTTAGTTTGTAATGTCTTCAAAAACAGCTACTAAAGAAAAAACAAGTAATGGACGAGAAAAAAAAGTTTCAGATGAAGCAATAGAAGAAATGGTGCTAATGCGCGACGAAGCTTCACAAGCACTCGTTATTGTTTCTACTCGTAAAGTTTCATCAATTAAAAAAGTATCAAAGTTGGTGCCAGGTACCATAGTTACAATGCAAGATGCTTCTAGAGAGAGATGGCGTGGGCCAATTTTAGATATTGGCAAGTTTTACTATTGTTTGAATGATTCTATAATGACGAACTTCTTTTTAGGAACAGAAGCACAATGTGCAAAAACCATGACTACTATTGAAAAAAATTTGGGAATTTCAGGTAAAGATACATCTATGTCAAAAAGCAAAGGAGGTGGAAAACTTCAATCAACAATAACGGTCGAAGAAAAAGATCCTGAAGAGGTACAATCAAATCACGATGAAGACGATGATAGTGGATTGCTTTATATTCACGATCAAGAAGAGGAAGATGAAAACAAACAAGAAGAAGGAGAGATAGATACACAAGAAAAAGAGAACAATTCTTCGTGGCTTCAAGCAACAACTATTTCAAGCAGTATGCTTTCTATATTCTTCTTAAAAACATTTTAATGTTTTACATTTAGTATCCAAAAGTTCACGTGGTGAAAAACGACCGTGTGATGAAAATATTAATGATTCAAAAAAGAAAAAAAATTCAAATAAATCATTAACTGTTTCGTATTCTATGTATTCAGAAAAGGAACAACAATGTCTTGTTCTTCAATCTCAGGTTACAATGTATCAACAAGAATGGATGCGTAAGTACAAAAGTATTTTTCAAAGTTGTATACTGGGGATAGAATGCTTTATTGGCAGCAGAGTACTTTTTTTCCATGGACTAAATATTTGTTTTAATGAGATAAAACATCGAAACCCTACCAGTACTTATCAAAAAGTGAATTTTCTTTTCGAAGTATATTATATACTGTAGTTTCTTTTAGAATCAAATTGATATATTGAATCGAAGAAATTTGAAGCTTTATCTTTAAAAAAATACAACGCTTGATTTGAAGAATAAGCGCTTTTCTAGAATCTTTGCTTAGTAAAATATGTTCGCTTCACTAATGAGAAATATTTAATTATGTCAGATCGTTTTTTGTTTTCATCGAAACGTTTTCTTTGTCTTTTTTTATTCAGCTCGGCCGAAAGATCCGAAGGTGATCAAATATCTAATTGATATTACTGATATTCTACGTGGTAAAGTCGACGAAAATGATGAAGAACCAGGTGAAATTTTATTAAAAATTATGGAGGACTTTGACGTAAGTGAAAAAGATTTACTAATGTGTCATCGAAAAACAGCAACACGAACAGCTCGTCAAATCATGAAATTATTATATCCAAATCCTTCACCAAATTTGAAATTAAACAACATTGATGAATATGTAATCATTTCAATTATTAGTAGGTTTTAAAAAGCACATTTTTTCACTTTTGGAACTATTTTTACTTTGTAGAATATACAAAACTTTCAAATCCGAATGATAAAGTTAATGAAGCAGATATTCGTCATGCGATAGGAAATTACATAGCAGTCCATGCATTTAAACAAAAGCAACTCAAAAATGCCTCGTCCAAGATCGTTACCAAAGACACAAATAAAAATAATCATTTTGATTCAAATAATAGTTAAAGAAAAATGTAACATTTTTGATTATAAAAATTCTTTACGATATTGATATTCTTCGTTCAGCCCTATCTATTTGAACCTTCTTCTTGTTTTTGTTTTGTTTATTATTTTTTTTGGACTTATTGATTATTCGTTATTTTATATTTTGAGTAGTGACGTTCGTAAAGCCATCTACTCAATTCATGTGAAAATTGTTTCTATTCAAGAAAAAAATCTCGTGTAGCTTCATTTGTTTTCTTCTTGTGATATTAACTATTAGAGACTATATTTTCACTTTTTTTCTTTTATATTCACGTGCTATATTTTTTTTTATGAATATGATTTCTTGAACATTTTTTTCTTTACGTTAAGTGATTTTCATCGATGATTTTCGAAAAATTTATGCGCGACATCTTTATATATATCTTTCTCATTATGTTGCTATAGATCATATATACTTTTTCATTCAGTTGGACCTTCTCGTTCATTTGATTTTTAATGTCTAGTAGAAGATCTTTCTTCAGAAATAAAAAAGCTCAACAAGAAAATTTAGAATTGGGTAAGATTGTTTTTGATAGTTTAAAAATCTTTCAATTTTTCAATGCCAGGCTACGCTCTAAGTCGTTATTATGATATGTCAAATGAAGCTAATGATTTATCAAGCTATGAAATACAAATGAAAGATGGATTCGACGATGAAGGCATGAAAACACAAAAAATGCTTGAGGACAATCCAGTTGATGTCAACATGGAAAGATCATCAGATGATGAGGATGAATTCGACATTGAAAATTTCATGGATGTTAGTGAGACGACAATTGATGAACATGAATATAATTTGATGAAGGACAACGAGAGGTAGTGATTCTTTTAGACCATGCTTTTAATGTATCTGTTATATTCTCTGAAAGCGAATCGCTGCAATAAATGGATCTCTTCTACTACGAATTTTCGAGTAGCTTTTATTAGAAATTCTTGAAACAGATTCACTGCTATGAATTGTAAATTATTGATTATCTGCAGAACGACACCGTTTTTATCAAGTAATTGACCACTTTTCTGAAACACATAGATATCATAATAGACGTCAACAACCTAACGAACCACTAGCTTTCTTTTTGCTCATGATTCTAAAACATATTAATATCATATTAATCCTAAACTTCTCTGTTCTTTACAGACTACCCATGTGAAAAAGAATGAATGTTAAAAATCAGATTCAAATGGATTAAAACCTTATGTTTTTTCTTAATTTTGTTGCCTCTGATTTCTAATTTTTTTTCTGAATTCACTAATCTATTGTGGCAAATAAGTCACTCTTAATCAATTATACGGTTTAGAAAACATTCTAAAATCAGAGTTAAATCTTTTATAGATAAAAATCAGGCTTCGGCTAAATGAAACACTGAGATTTCAATGTACTTTTAAGCAAAATAATAGTTGGTTTTAATCCTATTTTCAATGTTTTTTTTACGTGTACACATGATTGACATTAATAACGAATCGTCTAGTGCAAATTAGTGTTTCTGTGTATCAAATAGACAAAATATCAGGCTCAATCGATCTTACTTCAAAACGGATGTCTTCAGGTTCACGTTTGATGCAGTTCAATCTGCATGTCAGTCAGTCCAGCTTTCACAGCAAATTTGAGAACAGTTAATATCCTTCGTAAACAGCAGTTAACAATTTAGAAGAATCATGTAAACTAATTGATTTTAATGGAGTAAAACCGCATAATCGATTGGAATGGATTTAAAAAATTGGAATTAAAATAAAATATGCCTTCAGTTTAAAAAAAATGCAAATAATAATAAATTGAAATAGCGCCATTGTTGTCTAATTTTAATCAAGAATATGTAAATAGTAGGCGAACATTTAATTGTCTGTTATACTGTAAAAAGACTTAGACTGTATTTCTATTAAAAGTTTGTCGGGAAAATAACTCAGACGGTTAGCTTAATTTGTTCTGTGGAAAACATCTCTTGATACTAAGCGAATAGAACACGAGTCAGAAGGCATCAGAAAAAATATTGTATTGTATTTTCTCCTAAGATTATAACGAAAATATCTAATGTTTAGTATCAATAAAAAGATTCGAACTACCAATGTAAAAAATTGGGGTAAAGATCTAATGAAAATCGAAAAAAAAGATTAAAAAACAATTATAATCATACGCTATCAATCCATTTTTAATCAATTTTCAATCGATTGCATTCAGAAGTAACCAAACAGAGAAAAATCTGTTGATTCTTACGATCAATTTCGATCATAACTGATACAAATCGATTCAAAATATTTCAAGTATCATGATGAAAAATCAATTATAGTCGATTTTTTGAAAGTTTTAATCCATTATGATCATTTTTAATCCTCGTAGTCAGCATTTTTTGGTTTTTAGTTACTTTGGAAAAAAAAGATTAAAAAGTGACCACGCATCGATTTTCATCTAATTTTTACTATAATTTTCGCATGGGCAGTAGAGATTAACTCAGTTTTGGGGCCATTTATGGCCACCATCTCATTCTTCATACTTTTTACTCCTTTTCTTCGAGTAATTTACAGGTATCAAGAAAATCAGTCATCCACCAACAAACCAGCAACTGAGAAGGATGTTGCCTGTTTACTTATTCTCTTCAAACATCGTCATCGACTGTCTATCCAATGCATATCGGACCTTTTAGCATTATTAATTCTTCTTGGAGTGAATCATGTACCTTGTTCATGGCATAAATTAAAAACTCTGATAGGAATTGCTACTCCAACAACTTCGTCTTTTTTTTCATGCTCGTATTGCCATTCAACATCGGCAAATCCATCAAGCTGCTCAACTTGTGGCCACAATTTCTCTTCAGATATGTTGCGAAATACTTTCATAGCTGTCTCAATAAGAGATCAGTTAGAAATTATATTGAACAACAACGCTGATGTTGACCTGTTTTCAAAATGTGAAACGAACACAATTAGTGATATAAGGGATGGACACATTTATCAACTAGTAAAGTCTATTTGCAAGGATCGTTTTTTAACCCTTACGATGAATGTAGATGGTGTAGAAATTCATAAGGCGTCAAAAAAATCAATCTGGCCAATTCTACTTATCATTAATGAGCTTCCAAAAAATCGACGCTTTAGAGTGGAGAATGTAATTCTTGCTGGGATCTGGTCAGGATCAAATAAGCCTTCTCGGGCACAAATGGCATCTTTTTTTTCTCCGATAGTGAAAGAATTAGGTCAATTGGAACAAGGATACGAGTTTTCCGATTATCGAAAATTTCCAAATGATCAGAGCACCACAATCAAAATATTTTTGATAGGTGCGTGTTGTGACAAGCCTGCTCAGGCATTAATCCAAAATATACCGGAACCTATTGCAGCGTTCGGTTGTGGTCGCTGTGAATGCGAAGGTAATATGTTTGATTTATTTTACGTAACTGAAAACTCACAATGTTTGACCTGTCACTACGCTAGATCTTCTCTCAAACTTGAAGAAATTATAGAAATCTTAATAATATCAGAAGAAATAAGATTAAACTATACTAAATCTCTAAATAATTAGGTTAGACAGAATTGAAAAGATTTTAAGCAAGAAATAGTTAATGGATAACGTATACATAATTTAAAACGGTTGCGTCTTATTTCAGTTTGTAATATGAGTTCCAAGAATAAAAATTACCAAGTACTGCCATGTATAATGAAATCCTTTACATTTTGCCTTAACAAATCCTTCGCAAAAAAGTATCTATTCTTTAAATTTAATTTATAGGCACTATGGTACAGAGTGCCAAAGGTCACGTACGATCATTTGCCATGAACAAAATCGAATTAGAAGTAGTTCAACTACGTTCTAATCAGCGTCATGATAGTCTGTTGAATTTGAAACATCATCATCAACAAAAAATCAATACTATTGACAAAAAACGAAAGAAACAACGAAAAACTTTGAAAAAACAGAATGCAAAAGCGGAAAAAGGAATTTTAGGAATGTGTATTCTACGATCGCTCCTTATCTTTGATGTTGGCACTTCGTTCATGGCTGACAGTCTCCATAATGTCTACATTGGTGCTTTCGTAAGTAGATGTTGCTGAAAGTAAAAAACCGTCTATTTTCATTTTTAGAAACGCATGATGAAATTATGGCTTGATAAAGAGTATTCTTCTGAAAAGTGGAGTGTTAACAATCATATTAACACGTTGTCATCTTTGTTTCTTCAGCTACGTCTTCCATCAACCACCACTCGGCTGCCTCGAAGTCTTCTTGAGTTTCGAAATTTCAAAGCAAATGAAATGCGTACTCTACTGCTTTTTGGACATATCATTTTTTCTCAAATTTTGAAGGTGCCCTATTATTCTCATTTATTGCAGTTAGTCACTCTTATGCATATGGCGGAATCAAGGCAGATTACAACAAATCATCTTTCCATTATGCAACAACTTTCGAATTCGTTTGTCTTAGATTTCGCCAAATTATACACACCTCGACATTGTGTTCAAGTGGTACATTCCATCGTTCATATTCCAGCAACAGTCAAAGACTTCGGACCCATGACCAATTTCACCACCTTCAATTTCGAAGATATACTTGGTGAGAAGTTTCGACAAGCTTCTGGCGATAACCCAGATCAAAATTCGTTTAAACCGAGCTAGCAGTCTCCTATTAAGGTTGCATATGAATTCAATAATTTTCATGAATCCTATTCTCTCATTTGGGTTTTAATGCCGGATATGAATCTAATTAATTTTTCAATTTTACATATCAAAAATCGGTTGTATTTGATTTCACCAAAAATTAAGACTGATTATATTTTAAAAGCGATAAAAACTGATTAGAAATCGATTGTTAGCATACACTATCGATCATATTTTGATGAACAATAAGTGAAAAAAATCACCAGTTCATATCTTACTAAGATTAATTTCATAGAATCAATTAAAACTGACTCAGAAACATCAAGTTTAATTGATTTTTCTTTCTCATACATGAAAACTGTTTCGTTGATTTATATCGATCTGAAGCAATTAGAATTGATCTTGATCCTAATTAGTTTTACCCGAGTCGAGACTAATCATTTGAAATCGAATTTAGACAGTGAAATCAAATACACAGTAAATCTTAAACATAATTAAACAAATACTCGACGAAATCGATTGACCATTAAATGATTTAAAGAAATTCGATTAAAAGAGAGTGCTCAGTTCTTAAAGCAACTATCTCAAAGCCATTCCCTTAGATTTAGAGTAATCGAAAAAATATGCTTTGCACCACTCAATTTTAAATAAAAAATTAAACTTTGCCCTAGTTATGATCTTACAATATTACAAAAGTAATAGCATCTTAATATAGGTCAAATTTCACGTACTACCCACGGCACACGTCGTTATGCAGAAGAAATAATTTCTGGGCTTCGGATCCTCCAAATGTCCATCATGCATTTTAATCGATCCACGCCAAACCATAGTGTTACACGATTCCTCTCATCAATTCTTCATTATTCAATGAACACACCAGATTTAACAATTCGATTATTGCACAAGACAAATCAGCAACATCCACTTCCCTCAATTCTCTTTCCTTCAGCTAACATCGAGTATTTTAATGTATTGTATATCGGACATGTGAAATTATCCACAACTATATACTCAGAGAAGAAAAGAGCCGATGATAGTAATATTATCTTTCACCTCAACAATATCACTACATTTGGCCGTGTCTGCTCAATTTTTTCTGTTAAAAGTGGTCCACCATTATTGTTGGTAGATTATCATGAAAAAACTAAACCTCTTCATTGCAATGTATCCTATAACAACAGCGATTTCTATTATGAACACATAAGATGTGGTGATAGTTCAACAAAAAAAACATGC